GGTCAGTGCCTCCGCCAACGGCCGGAGAGTTCCTGCCCCGACGCGCGCCACCGCTGGGGCGCAAGCTAGTTAGCCAGTCGCCCTGGGCCGGGCGCCCCCTGGGCGGGCCACCCCCCGTGGCGGAAGCGTTCGCCTCGTGCTGCTCTTCGTCCACTGCTCCTCGTCCTTCTCCTCCTCCTCCTCCTCCTCCTCCTCCTCATCCTCCTCCTCCTCCTCCTCCTCAACATCATTTTCATCCTCATCCTCATCCTCATCCTCATCCTCCTCATCATCATCTTCATCCTCATCCTCATCCTCATCCTTCTCCTATTCATCATCCTCCTCTTTCTCCTCCTCGTCCTCCTCCTTCTCCTCCTCCTCCTCCTCCTCCTATTCCTCCTCCTCCTCCTCCTTCTCCTCCTCCTCCTCCTCCTCCTCTCCTCCTCCTCCTCCTCCTCTTCCTCCTCCTCCTCCTCCGCTGGTTCATACCCGTCGCGTCCCACGTCGCCCTGGGACCCTTTCCATCCCCCCTCGCACATTGCTGTCGCCATGGAGGCAAGCGGTTCCGGAGGAGGCACCTCCGCCGGAGGTTCTTCTCTCGCCGGGATTCGGTGTCTGCGGGGCCCCTCCCCGGGCCCAAGGACCGAGTTGGGCAAGCGGCACTTGGGGAGTGCCCCCCCGAGGTCCAGGGCCGGATTCCGGCAGGGCCCGCTTCTTTTCCCTAGCTATCTTTGGTGTTATTGTTGGGTCCTCGTTTTGCATGCGCGTCGTCACGCGCCTTTCCTCACCTCCTCCTCCTTCCCCCATCCTCCCTTCTCCTCCCTCCTCCCTCCTCCCATCCCGCATTACCCCTGCTTTTCGCGCGCCCATTTCGACGCACCCCTCACACGCTCCGTGGCCCCATACTGGAGGTAGTCATTTTGAACTAAAATTCCCCCCTGCCCCGGGAGCCTTATTTCGTATTGTGTGATTAGGGCATACGAGTAAGAGTTTTGGGCCAACATTGTTTTCATTGTCCCCACCTTCCCCACTCACCGCCAGATTCTTTTGGGCGCTGCTTTGAATCTGATGAAACTGATTTTGCAATCGGCCCACCCCGTGCAGTTTCGAGGATTCCATCGGCCCTCTGGACTCATCAACGAGAGGAGGAGGAGGAGGAGGAGGAGGAGGAGGAGGAGGAGGAGGAGGAGGAGAAGGAGGAGGAGGAGGAGGAGGAGCAGGAGCAGGAGCAGGAGCAGGAGCAGGAGCAGCAGCAGGAGCAGGAGCAGGAGCAGGAGCAGGAGGAGGAGGAGGAGCAGCAGCAGCAGCAGCAGGAGCAGGAGCAGCAGGAGCAGGAGCAGGAGCAGGGCCAGGAGCAGGAGGAAGAGGCGGAGGCGGAGGAGGCGGAGGCGGAGGCGGAGGCGGCGGAGGCAGAAAGGCTGGAGGCAGGAGGAGGGACGCGAGACGGTCGGCCCTCGGCCAGGCGAAGCTGCAGCGCTTCGGGGTCGCTTGCGAAGCGCCCTGCGAGGTCTCGGGGTCGCCAGGAGGTGCCTCTGACCGGTCCGAGTCACTACCCCCGCCGCTCCAAATTGTCAGCCCTCGGCCACCCCCCAGACATCTGGCGTCTCGAAAAAGTCGAAACGGAGGTGTTCCATCGTTTTCGGCCTCTCGGGTCCTTTACCAGGCCTCGGGACCGTCAAACAACGACTCGGGATGAAAAGCCCGTCCCGGGGAAGTGGTCGAGAGGTCGGGGGCCCGCTTCTCGAAAAAATCGAGACGCCGGATGTCTGGGCCCCCCTTGGCCTCCCAAGCGGCCTGGGCGCCAACCCGACTTGTCCCCCCTCAGTGGGCCGAGCTCCTCGGCTCGCTTTTATGGGAGCCACAGGGCCGGTGAAACTATGTGTTTTCAACCCTCCCCCGCGAATTGCCTCAATTCGTTCACCCAGAAAGCAGGGGCCCGCGTGGCGGCGTCGGTGCCTCATGACGGCACACCAGTTGCACGCTTCGTGGCCCAAGTGGGAGCCTCAGCGAAATCGCCACAGTCCGCACGGTGGCGCCGCTTCATGTCGGCGTATTCCTCGCACGCTTCGTGGCTCCACAAGGAGCCGCAGCGAAGGCCCAACTGCCAACGTCCGCATGGCGGCGCCGCCTCATTTCGGCGTATCCCTCACGCGTTTCGTTTCTGTCTCGAGGTGCCCAGAGCTCGTCTGGGTGGAGGTCCGGGGCGGTCGCTCGACGCCAAGGATCAGGAGGGACAGAAGCACGCACGCGCAATTAATCGCGGACTCCCCAGGAAGTATGGAAGATATGGGATGTGGGGGGAAGACACAAACCCAGAACATATCGGAAAATACGGGGAATCCTTTTGTTTGTGTGTATTTATTTGTGTGTCCCCAGGGCCCCTTCAAAGGATTCCGACGAGTCATGGTCAGTCTCACGCCTGTCTCGCACGATTGTTGTTCGATGAGCTCACGTTCGGAGGACCATCGAGCTGTGCGGTAGGTTCGAGTCCTGTTGACCAGCGGCGACCCCGCCGCCGGCGCTCCACGGCGGACGCCGCCCGCGAACCAGAATCGGTCGATGTTAAACGACCGAGCGTTTCGGAAACGGTCGATGGTTCAAGGTTGAACGGTCCCCGCGGTGTCGGGCACCAGCGCCGGGGTCGACACGACACGACCCCGCTGTATCCTGGTTGACTGCCTCCCTCTCTTGCCGTGCTTCGGCGAGGCTCCTTCGGCGAGCGCGTGCAGTGGCCGCCCCTTGGGCTGTCCACTCCGCCTTGCCTCCGCCGACGGGCTCGGCATCGCTTTGCCGTGCGCACCTTCGCTCGGTCGGGACCATCGATTCGGATGCAGCTCCTGGGAGGTTAAATTCTGACTTTGCCCTGGTCCGAACTCCGGCTGAACCCCGCGCAATCCAGTTTTATCCCGCTAAATCCCGGCTAATTTGGCTTAGTCCCGCTTAGTCCGAGGCCCACTCCGGCGTAACAGCTCCAGCTAGGGCTTCATCCTCTTTTTTTTTCCGACGAAAGCCTCCCAGTAGTTGCTTCCTAACATCGAGGAGCATCCTGGACCATCGGGCAAAGAGAGCACAGCACGCACGACGCCGAATGAATGCACGGGGAGTGGACGTCCGAGCGGTGCCAGGGGAGAGGTCGGGGCGCGACGAGTCTCCCTCTCTATCCCTTCTCGGGGCCGGGAGCATGTCCTCTATACACGCCGGTCGTTGAAAACAGGCATTTGTGGACTCCCAGATCCCAATCTATTTCAACCGCCTTCCTACTTCAAGAGTCGACACGTTTTTGCTGTGTTTTGTTGTTCTCTGGGAGGGCCTGGACCCAATCCACTTTATCCGCCTTCCTACTTCATGTTTTTACCCATTTCTTCCGACTGACGTGTATACACATAGACATGCATACACACATAATCACATGTATACACACATACGTATATACGTATTCAAACATTTGGCGCCCGCAGAACGGGCCAGGCATTTACAACATGCGTTGTTTTGTGGCGTGTCTTCGAAGCCCCATGGGACATGGCCCAGATACCTTAGTGTATTTTCACACGCGCGGTTCCCAGCTTGTGTTCCCCACCTCTGTCTCACTGAGTGTTCGGGCAGCCAGTGGACCTCACCTTCGAGTCCACAGCGGATGTCTCGAGCAACTACTCTCACGACCTTCCAGGGCTGGCGCTCCTGCGGTCCTCTTGGGGCTTTGATCCGGCGTTCAGCCATTGATTCTTGGTCGGAGACGCGTGATGGGGGGGCGATACTGGGGGGGGGGGGGGAGGGCAGCGGCGGCTGCAGAAAGGGGCCCTTGAAGGCCCCTGCAAGAGTCCCTTAGGACTTAGATGGGAGCCTGTAGGGCCCGAAAAGGGTATTTCCCCTCCCCCCCCCCCCTCCCCCCATTGATCGCCTCTCCCCGTTAAGCGACGCACAACTCGGTGAGCGGAAGTGGGTGGGGAGGGGCGGCACTTTTTGTGTTTCTTGCGGTTGGAGGAGAGATCCCTCGACGCACAACGTAGAAGACTAGGCGTGGGCCGCGACACCCCGCTGGGGAGGGGGGGGGCGAAGGTGGCCGCGCGTTTCGCAATTCGCGGCCTGGGCTGGCTTGGCATCGCTTGGACGTGTGAGTATGTTGTTCGACGAGGGCCATCGAGGAGCATTTAGGATCATCTTGTGGAAAAGAATGCGCACGGCACCGAAACATGCACGGGGACTGGACGTCCGAGCGCTGGCAAGCTAGAGAGATGATCCTTCCTGTGCGGCACGAGTGACCCACAGGGCGCTGAATTGAGGACCTCTTTGGTCTCAGGAAAGGCCCTGGTTTTCTGGCCGCTCCTTGGATGTAGCCCGGGGAACTTGGTTCGTGGCCGTTGCTTGCCGTGGCAAGAAAACGCCCCCTCGTTCCCTATCCAGCGCTCATTGGGGCAGCACGATGACTGTCGGTAGAGGTGGCAGCGGGAGGGGGGGGGGGGAAGGGGGGCACACCTCGTGGTCGGAGGACACAACCTTCAAGTTCGGATTTGCGTCGTGGGAGCCCATGCGCAGGTGGGTTCCTGGAGTTCCCAGCGCGACAGGGCAATCCATGGGGCTCTCGAGGTCTGGTATGGCCGCCGTGCTATGGAAGAGCATAATTAGTTTGCTCAGGTAACGCCAGCGGTGTTGTACAAGGGTTTGCATGAGGGTGCGCAAGGTTGCGCAAGGGGCTGCGCAAACATTGTGCAAGTTGTTTGTTTCGATGTCTGGCTTGTTCCACAACATATGAGGCCTTGCCCTCCGCTCACGATTGGGCGACTCGAACACAGAGCAACGGGTGTGTTTTGCCATTTTGACATCCGAAGCGGGCACCGGGAGGAAAGGAAGCACGAGGGTAAGGACGAGGCGGAGCAGGAGGAGGAGGCGGAGGAGGAGGAGGCGGCGGAGGAGAAAGCGGCAGCTAAGAAAGAACGGGGAGGGAGGGACGGGCGTGGAGGCGGACGAGGGACGAGGGGGAGGATCGCAGGGAGGGGCCCTCCTCGCCCCGCCTCCTCGCACACAGGGGCGCCCCCCCCCGCCCCTGCCTGGAGGGCCGCCGCGGCCCCATGGGCTGGCGCCGCCCAGCGGCGAGCCTTGCGCATGCTGCGGCTGGCGGGCCTCGCGGCGGCGGGGGCAAGCGGATTCGCGGCGCCGCGGCGGCGGAGCTGCGTGACGGCGGTGCTGAACTATCCGCGCTGCCTGCGGCAGGCCCCGAAGGCGGCCCCAAGGTGGCGCCAAAGCTTTGGGGACCCAAGGCGGCCCCAAGGTGGCCCCAGGGCCAGACAGTGGTTCCAAAGTGCGCCCGCCGCGCCGGCCGCGCGCTGGCCTGCCCCTCAGAGCGGCCCCAAGGTGGGCGCAAACTGGCTCCAAGGTGCCCCCAGAGTAGCCCCAATGGCCCCAAGGTGCTGCGCAGAGCGGTGCAACGGCACGGTGCTGCGCAGAGCGACAGGGAGGGTGTGTTGCTAGAAGTGGCGGTCCTGGCCCAGGGTGTCCCCAAGGTGGTCCCAAACAGGGTTCGAAGTGGCCCCCCCAGGGGAGAGTGGATGGATGATTTTTGGGGGGAGACTGGACGGATGATGACGAGCCGGCCAGAAACGCACCCAGTGCAGTGGCGCCGGCGCTGCTTCAATAGAACAGCACATGCCCGTCCATAGCGCGAATCACCTGATACACACTGATGGAGGGATCCGGGCAACATGGTGTTCAGCATTTGCTTTGCATGTCTACGCCCACATCAAATTTCCGAGCGGGACACTGCCGCATCCAATCTGCATGGCAGGAGTATTTTCCAACGCGCTGGTTGCATCCTTTACCGCAGAGGCCATGCACTTGAACGCGCTGAGGATTTTACTGGGGACCTATTGAAAACATGAGCATCCACATGTGAGTCCTCTTAAAGCCATACAGCGACAATAGCAGGCTAGTGCTATCGCGCTTCACGCCTCCGGAAAGAAAGAGTGGCCCCAAGGTGGCCCCAGGGTGGTCCCAAGGCGGCCCCAAAGTGGCCCCAAGGTGGCCCCAAGGTGACCCCAAGGTGGCGTTAAAGTGCCAGCCCTGGTGACTCAAGGCAACCCCAAGGCGGCTCCAAGGTGGCCCCCAGAGTGGCCCCAAAGTGGCCCCAAAGCGGCCCGACAGTGGCCCAAAGGTGCCCCGCCCGCCGCGCCGTCGCGCGCCGGTCCGCCCCTCAGCGTGGCCCTTGCGAGCCTGCCGCGCCGGCCGCGCGCTGGCCCGCCCCTCAGAGCGGCCCCAAGGTGGGCACAAGCTGGCTCCAAGGTGCCCCCGGCCACGCGCAGAAGGCGGTGGGGGGAAGGGGGAGGGCTTCTTAGAGGCACCCCCTGCTTCTCAGAAGGCGGGGGCTTTCTCTATAGATGTAAGGCCAGCGCCTTCTAAGAAGCAGCCTCCTTCTAAGAGGCCTTCCACCTCCCTCCACCCCCTTGCGCGCGCCGTCGATTCCCCCAGAGTGACCCCACTGGCCAATGGCCCCAAGGCGGGCCCAAAGTGGCCCCAAGGCGCGCGCAGCGGCGCGGCGCTGCGCAGAGCGACAGGGAGGGGGGCGTTGCTAGAAGTGGCGGTCCTGGTCCAGGGTGTTGCCCCCAGCTTTTCGCACCATCTTGGGGCTGCGCCTCCCTGGAGAACGCTGGGATCACTTCGGGCCAGGCCAACTCTGGCAACCCCCGGCGGGAGGGGTCGAGCCTGACATGCCCGCCCCCTGGTTCGGTGCACCGTCTGAGCGGGCGTGGGTCTCGAGCGCCCCCCCTCCTTGCCTTGTGCGCAGGCTCGTTCCTCCCCTCCTGTCTCCGTCCTCTTCTTCCTCCGCCTCTTCCCTCTTCCCCCGTGAAGCCACATTGGGGCCGTCGGGGATTTCGGGACCGTCTTGGGCGCGATGGCTCCACACAGTGTCACACAGCTCTCGCCGAACAGTCTCGGTCGAGCCATCTTGGGGACATTCGGGCGTGTCTTGCGGCCGTCTGCGCGATTTTTTGAGTTCTCGGGTTGTCTTGGGGCAGTCTTAGGTCTCACGGGGTTCCTCCGAGTGCGTAACTTGAGGCGCAACCAATTTCAAGCCTGTTTTAGTCTCGGCCGCCGAGCGCACAGCCTATGGCGCCACCCTGGATGGAGCATGGCGACGCCCATGGCGGAACCTTCGGATGGCGCATCTAATGATCGCGCAATTTAGGATGTCGCAACCGATGGCGCAATCCATGGCGCGGCTTGTGGGTGGCACACGCCGCTGGCAGGTTTCGTTGGTTACAGGGCAAGGCCCGACTTCTGCTCGGCCGTTCGGGCTGGCGATGGGGCCCAAGCGGCGAGCTGTCTTGTGATTGGTCGTCTTGAGCGCCGTCTAGGGGCGGAAAAAGGTTGCCAGAGAACACTGAGGGAATGTTTTTGTTATCTCGAGCGCCAGTGGGGGGGACCGCTCCTGGAAAACTACAGATGCCCACCAGACATCGCACCGGCAATCTAGCGCGCCCTGGCGTGCCGAAGGCACAGTGGCGGACCAGCGACGGCCGGCGCCTGGGC